GTGAGAGTGGCCTGAGTCGCCGACTCAACATTCCTACCATTTTGGGGACGAGACCGAGTGGGGAGCTGGGAACATAACTTCACAAGATGGAATTCACTCCTCCCCGACTTTAGGGGAGTAGATGAGTGTTCCCTTAAATGCTGACTCCGGGACTTGAACAAGGGGCCCCACCCTCTCAATGACCGAGAGGGACTTCCAGTTATTGGTTGGACCATAACCGGGTTGTTCATTAGAGGAGCAGTGGTGTTTAAGGAGTAAGATGTAACTCAGGGGTAAAACGGTAATTTGACCCAACTTGAGTTACGAGCACTCGTGAAGGATTGACTCGTCATTAATGGTCGTATATCCATGGACACGAAAACATTCTGCAGTGAGAAGAGTGCAACTGCGGGTCTTTAGTGGAATGACCCGTAGTTAACGAATCGGTCAATGAGTTTGACTGATTAATCTTGCATCGTTGGAGCTTCAGATCTGTAGGTCCATTAGGTTCCCTTACTAGCTCATAACGGGTAAAACGAGGATCAAATTTTTGGAAGAATTTGAATTGTTCAAATTACTTAAGGGATTATATGTATATTGATACATTATAATATATAGTTAATTGTAAATTAAAACTATATATTATGAGAGAAATTATTTGAATGAGATTCAAATAAAATTAATATGAATGAGATTCATATTAAAACTATAGGTTCAAAATAATGTGCATAAGATGTACATTAAAACTATAGGTTATCCGAGAGAAATGTTTTAGAATATGATTCTAATTTTATAATAAATAATTAAGTGTTAATTATTTATTTGATTAATATATATATGTTAATTAATTATTAATTGGATTAATAATTAATAATTATTTATTAATTAATATGATTAATTAATAAATTATTTTTATATTTTAATTTATATATATATATATTAATTATTTATAAATATATATATATTATTAATATTAGTTATATTAATATAATAATAATAATATGTATTATTATTAAACTCTCCTGCAAAATTGCAGGGGAGTGGGAGGTTTTGTAACGTGGGGAGTTACCCCACGTCACCCTTCTTCTTCTTCTTCAAGAGTTAGAGAATGGGAAGAGGAAGTTTTTTACAGAACAGAAAAAAAATTCCCACCAATTCTCTAAAAAATTCTCTCAATCTCTCCTTCTCTTCGATCAAGGTGCTACCACAAGCACGATCCTGAAACCCAAGAGGATAGCGAGAAAGATCCAGTGGTGGTGTTCGAAGGGAACTCACTGAAAAAACGTTCTTCAAATATTTGATTTTTCCCCTGTATTTCCTTCTTTCAATTTCGGTTTTGTATTCCGAAAATCAGCAACGAAGATCCGCTTCCGCTCCGGGATTCACATCCCTTCAGAACACACCTCACGACCGCATTACAAAGTGAGACTAGTTGTCAAAGGGTTCATTCAGAAGAAAGGTGTTGACTTTGATGAAATCTTTGCTCCTGTTGTGAAGATGTCTTCTATACGTGTAGTTATGGGTTTGGCAGCGAGCCTTGACTTAGAGATTGAGCAGATGGACGTTAAGATTGCATTTTTGCATGGTGATTTAGATAAAGAGATTTATATGGAACAGCTTGAGGGATTTGAGGAGAAATGCAAGGAGAATCTTGTGTACAAGTTGAATAAAAGTCTTTATGGGTTGAAACAGGCACCGAGACAGTGGTGCAAGAAGTTTGAGTCAGTTATGGGGGAGCAAAGCTTCAAGAAGACTACTTCTGATCATTGCGTATTTGTGCAGAAGTTTTCTAATAATGACTTTATTATACTATTGCTTTATGTTGATGACATTTTGATTGTTGAAGAAACAGTTGAGCAAATTCTTTGCCATGAAGGATTTGGGGCCAGCAAAGAAGATTCTTGGAATCCGTATAGCACGAGACAGAGCATCCAAGAAATTGTATATGTCTCAGGAGCATTACATAGACAAGCTGCTTGAAAGATTCAACATGAGTAAGACTAAAGCAGTAAGTTCTCCTCTATCCAATCATTTTAAACTGAGTAGCAAGCAGAGTCCTTATACAGATAAAGAGAAGGAAGAGATGAGCAGAGTTCCATATGCTTCAGCAGTTGGGAGTTTGATGTACGCCATGGTGTGTACTAGACCGGATATTGCCTATGTTGTTTGTGTTGTTAGTCGGTTTATATCCAATCCAGGAAAGCAACATTGAGAGGCAGTAAAATGGATTATGAGATACTTGCGGGGTACTTCCAGTTTGAAGCTCACTTTTGGAAGTGGAAAGCCAGTGCTTGCCGGTTACACTGATTCAGATATGGCAGGAGATTTAGATAACTGAAAGTCTACTTTCGGATATTTGATAACATTTGCAGGTGGTGTAGTGTCATGACAGTCAAGACTACATAAGTGTGTTGCACTTTCTACGACTGTTGCAATGCAGAGGCGTGCAAGAGATGTTGTGGATGAAACGATTTATACAGGAGCTCGACTTCAAGCAACAACAGTATGTGATATTCTACGATAATCAAAGTGCTATTCATCTTATTAAGAATTCAACATTTCATTCGAGAACGAAACATATTGATGTGAGGTATCACTGGATGAGAGATGCTCTCACTGATGGACTGTTTGAACTTGAGAAGATACATACTGATCATAATGGATCTGATATGTTGACAAAGAATCTACCAAGAGAGAAACTTGAGTTTTGTCGTTCCGTTGTTAGGATGACAATTTCTTTCACACAGTGAAAAAGGGGGAGATTTGTTGGGTATTTTTCACATTGTTTGAAAAGCCCAACTTTAAGGCCCACATGGGCCATTAATGTTTTAGGGTTTTATATATATATATATATATATATATATATATATATATATATATATATATATTAAGGTGCAGTCGGTCAACCACATATTAAGGGAAAGTTTATGCACACAGATCGATGGGAGAAAACAGAAAAGAAAAAGTAAAAGAAATTCAATTCCATACAGTGACGTTTTTTGCATGAACGGAGGTCGATCCGTGGTCCGATTGAGGTGAAATTTTGACAGCGTGTTCATAACACGATGGTCTTCAATCTGGACGGTGGAGATTTCTTTTGGAGCTGCCTACAGTCACATACAATGGATAGTTGGTGCCACTTTCTAAGTGAGATCTTTCTAATTTTCTTCCCTGGTTTATTCCTTTTGTTTGCCGAGATTTATTGTCTCGAGATACTATTATTGTATGCCTCTAGTTGTTGCTAGGGAGAACTTGGTGTACCCATTATTGATTATAGTGGAGATTTTGACTTCGGTCCGTGATTTTTTACTCCTTACATTGAGGGGGTTTTTCCACGTTAAAATTGCTTGTGTCATGTGCTTGTTTGGATTATCCCAACACGTATTGTTCTTTTTACGAAGAGATCTCGCCCCTTTCGAACAACATTTCGCAATCTTTGACATTATGTTCGATTATCCCACACAACGAACAAAACTCAAGAAGCCGTTCGTATTGAATTGAGATCCAACAACCGCCCATTGGTCCATCAATGTTTAACTTTATTCCTCATCTTAGAGCTTTGGATATACCAAGCCTGCTCCTAACTCGAAGACTTTCTCCACAACAGAAATTTCCCCCATTGCAATCCACATTCTCAAAGGCGCCTTGCATTATCGAGTCCGATTGCCATGTTTTTATTCCTACAACCAATAGGAAGATTGTAGAAGTGAACGCAGAAAGATGCTATGTTGAATTCCAATTCATCTGGCTTAACCATCAAATTTGGTTGCACAAGGACCAGCAGGTACTTGTCAAACAGCCAAGGGCCTGTTCTATAAACTCAATTCCTGTCTGCAGCCCTCTGAAACGTGAAGAGATAGATGTCTCTCCCAATACTTTCCACCGAAAGTTCGTCCTCAATTCTCCACGCACTCCTCATTGTGTTCTGAATGATTTCATTGGAGATAACTCGACCGGCCATTAGTTTCCCCATTAGACTCACACTCAACGCCTTACCAGTTTCCTCAGCCTCCCGTGTGTGTGTGTGACCAGTTTCCTCTGCAGCCTCCCGTGTGTGTGGTAGGAAAAGAAATTTGATTTCAAATCAAGTTTGTTAGCTGGTTGAATATGACGATAAAAAAACATGGTCAAGGGTAAAGTTGGACAATCATCTATTTTTTAAAAACTCCTAAAATATGCTTTAGTCATTTGTGTAAAATTAAGAACTAATGGTCATTTCTTAAAATGGGTGCCAAAATTAAATATTAGTAGGAAAAGAAATAATGAAAGAAAACAACAGAAAAAGAAAAGGATGAAATATGGCGGAGAGCGTTGAGAAATTAATGGTCCTGTATAATTTCCCCTCCTACATAAAATATTCAAACACAACCACAATATGCAAATAGGAAGAAAACTATAAAACACGAGTAAACGACACATATACTGGTTCACCATTCAGGGCTATGTCCAGTCTTCCACTAATGTGGGTAATTCACTAATACATGTCAAGGGATGGATACAATAACACTCCCCAAAATATCCTCTAGATGTCCCAACAAAAATCCCTAACTTCTAAGTATTTTAACACAATTAATACTTAGGAACATAGATGAAAACTCACAGGAACCAAGACACAATTACCTCGATAATGTCGATCTTGATCAATCCCAATGTCTTTGCGAATACCCGAGCCGCTGCCACTGATTAGTTGCGAAAACCCTCTGAAAATCTACTACTAAAACTCCTCGTTCGGCTTAGAAATCCTAAAACCCAAGAACTACGAATATATAGACTCGAAACAGCGACACGTCCCTAGAATAATGACCAAATTACAATTTCACCCAAGTATAGGAACTATTACAATTTTATACTTCATATTAGTTCGAACTCTTGCCTAGAACATTTTGACAATGGTCTTATGACGGTAAAAGAGTTGCAATTTAGATATAGTTGAAATAGGTTTTTTAGTTTTCAACTAAATATTTTTCCAATAAACATTTTTAAATAACTGAACACCATTCAAGATATGAAACGTTTAAACATAAGGGAACAAATGATAAACTAACCATACTATACATCAATGAATACATTTGAGTCAAACAATGTTCTCTTGTATGTAACAAACATGTCGGAGAGGGAGTTAACCTGAACATAACTCAATTGGTTAAGCCGTATATCAACCAAAATACTGGAGGTTCCAATCTCCGCAGTTGTAATCCTAAAAACCGGAGAAACCTGAGGTAACGATGTACGGTAAAGATGTTGAGAGCCTAAAGCTACGACTACATGACAAAATCACCTATCAGACATTCAATTCAACACTGGTTTAGAGCTTTTCATCTCTATTGCTTCCCTGAGTTTCCTTCCCAAAGCATACGCCAAAGGAGGAGGAACAGCATTCCCAATTTGCCTGTGTTTGTGTTGAATATTACCAGCAAATTTGTAGCTGTCTGGGAAACCCTGCACAAAAACCCAATACAGGCATTGGCATCTATCTCCTGCAGCTCTAACAACAATAAACCAGCCCACCGATTGATATTTTCGTTGCTAGACTGCACTCGTGATTCACAAGACAGACTAATAAACTCAAATTTTTTAAGCCTACAAGTTTCTTTCTTCATCATATGGAGATCTTATTTCCTATATTTCCTTTTTTCTTACATATATATAAACATGTCATGACTCTATTCGAAGATGAGGGTAAAATGAGGCAAACTTACTTGAGATCGAGCACATTCACGGACTGTGAGTATCCTATCCTGCTCGGGGTGGAAGCACATCCCAACCTTGCCCATTGGTTGCGGGTCGGTAATTGAAGTTGGAAAGTTCCCTTCCCAATCCAACCGGCCAAACAAGCCTTTCCATTGATTGTGCCTCTTGGCTGTGTTTGGCAGGCACCAGGGTATCAAATCAGCCATTTGTCCATTTGACAACCGAACCTGGACGACAAACACCAGTAGATAAAAGAGGGAAGAAGATTATCGTGACAGACCCAAGAATGCGCACACAATCCAACTACCATGTTTGCAAACAAATATGCATTGTTTTTGGGAGCCATAACAAACATTTTCAACAGGATTGAACTGAATACATTCATAATCCAGGAGTGGTTCCCTTAAGAAATAATGTACCTTCTCATCAGGTAGATCGCGCCAATCTGCACCTGGGCGTTTTGGAATTCTTTGACATCTAATAAGATTTAGCTCATTCATTTCTTTTGATATATGATCATTTAAGACAAGGATATCTCCTCGAATTTTCTTTTGGAACCAAGATATCGGCTCGCTCTTGTACTGCACCAGAAATGAACAAATAAGCAAAGACAAAATGACAACACAACAGACATAGTTCAGGAAAGGCTAAGAACTGTCACCTCCATTGTTGTCACAGAAGCTCCATTTCCAACGGCTGGAAGATCTCCAATTGTATCCCTGACAGTAATTGGACGAAAAGGGGCACCTCCCGCCGTACTAGGAACAGCAGCATACTGAGCATTACCCGACAGTGTAATCTTCAGTTCCGGGCCACCGAAGACATGCATTGGTTCTGGCCAGTCTGGCAGAATTTCGTCAGGAGATGCTGCCCATATGAACGCACGTTTCCTAGATTGAGAAATTCCATATGCTCCAGCTTCCAAAATACCAAACCTTACCTACAATAATCGAATGGATAAAACATGAAACTTGAGGATATTTATTTTTCTAACCCAAAAAACTTAGAGAAATGGAGAAACATTTGACTAGCAAGAGTGGTGAATAGAATTTCATTTAGTTTCTATCCAGCAGTGTTAGACACATAGAGCTGTAACAAACTTTTCCTAACAGACTTTGCTTCAGCTGACCTATAAAAAATCAAAAAGGCCAGCACCTACCTGATATCCCATCTCAAGAAGTGAAGCTAAGGTAAGGCGAAATGTTTGTCCTTTATTGAATGAGACAAAATTCCTCACGTTCTCCAGAAGAAAATACTTTGGACGAAAGTAATCAGCGAAAGATAAGAATGCCAAAATCATCTCACATTGGACCTTACTCCAAGTGCTCTGGTTAAAACGATTCATTCCAGAAAAGCCCTGTATATAGAAACTATTAGAACAATGACGAGCATAGATATCATACGTTCCACAAAATGTGAAAGCAACATGTTACCAATACCTGACAAGGAGGTCCTCCATTAATGAATTCAACTTGTCCAGGACGAGGCAGATTATTGATCTTCTTTTCATCAAGTTTCTCTGCTAACTCAATGGCTTCAGACGTGGATATACAATCATCTACATCACCACATGCTGTCATGACAGCCCTGCATCAAAATCAATGTAAAACGAAATAATTATAGCCAAAACAAAATAGAGTTAAAACTCAAAAGCGAAAGTGAGGCTCAGCATCAAAACCATCTACACATCATTTGAGGAACACCAAGATGGTGTACGATAAAAAGTGGAAAAAAAAAACAAAAGAGAATTCCAAAAATAAATAAATAAATATTTAAGCACAATTATCATCGATGTGCTTCACCTTAGGATCACATTGCAGTTATTGACAAATGTCAATGCCTCTGGATGATTGAAACTAAATGCCTCACCAGCAGGTTCTTCGTATTCAATGGCCCATTTAGTAGTTGAAGCACCTATAGCAAAAGCATATCGGCCAGGACGTGAGATCAGTAATCAAAGTAAGTGTCAGCTTTTACATAGACAGCAACAATATAGAAAACTAAAGTTACCTGCTTGCTGCAGACCCTCAGATAAGCCACCACATCCAGCAAATATATCCAGAGTAGCCAAACGGTTCTGAAATGACATTTCTTTTTGGTTGTCATTTTCCTCAGGTAAAATTTCTCCTTCTTTACACTTCCCTTTTTTCTTTCTTTGTGCAGCATCACTAACTCGCCTTTCAGAAGAGGAACTTAGTTTGACATTAGCTGGCAACTGAAAATAAAAAAAAAGATATTAGATATTCAGGGGAAGAAAAATACAATTCAAGACATGTTTGTGGTCAACATGAAAGCAGAATGTGATAGGGATGCCTACAAACTTCACTTGAAACCACAGTCCCAGCCAAGATCCAATCTGTCAGTACTGAACATAAATTGTCACATTTCTGATTTTATCCTGTAGAACTCACAGTGCCATCACAACATAAGACTATCCTACTCTTCCAGCTGATAGACCACTGATAATCCGAAAACATTGAATATTGATGATAGGCCACTGATTGAGAGGAGGAATTTCAAGTTAGTGGGTGGGGCCGCTCTTGTAAGTCGTAACTAGTTGATGAGATGTTAGTAGAAAAAGGAACTGATTGAGGGAGAGTATATTGGATGTGAGTATCTAAGGGAGGGTATGCCTTTGTCAGTAGAAAAAGTGAAGGCTAAGAGAGTGGGGGAAAGGTGAAAGCTTTGATCTTCCTTAAGTGTTGTACCCTCTGTTGTGCATGACTAAAGAAGAGATTTATCACTAGCCTATGACATGTCTGGTGGACCAAGTTGTGGTGACCATGAAGCACTTTATGTGAAACTAACTGAGAAACCATGACATTTTTTTTTTTGAACCATGACTTCTTCTTTAATAGAGATATCATGAGTTAAGCACTTGCAACCTCGCCACCATAGAAGACCAAAGCTTGACCCAACTTTTATTCATATGACTTGTTATGCCTCTTCCTTGCAAACCAATATCTACTATCTTTCATTCTATGGTGGAATTTACGTGATCAATTATTATCTTTTAAATACACACCAAGAAACAAGAAAATAATTACCTTCTTGATTGCTCCCTTCTCTGGATCATAGAGATGTTCGCAAAAGAAGATATGATCGAAGATAGCAGGGCAGTTTGAAATTTGGATATCCTGCTTTTTTCTTACTTCACACTTTCCTTCTATAGCAGTAACAGGCATCATTGATATTTCATCACTGTAGTACAGCTGAAAAGAATTGCAACCGCTGTCAATATTAAATGAAGCATGTCCACAAACAGATGTCAGAAGAAGAAAGCAAGCAAGATTCAGAAACCGAGTCAATAAGAAAAATAGAGTTCCAAATGTAATGCAGGGGTACATATTTTTTGGCTTACAAAAATCTAATTCCATGCTGTTCCAAATTTATAAGCCTTGGAAGAATACTTACTTCTCTTACATCTGAGCAGTACGCCTTTTCTACTGAAATGTCCTCTGGTCTAAAAAATCTTCTTACTTTGACCATGGTTGATCCTGGACTAGGTTGTTTTGAACCCTTAGGTGATTCGATTCCCAGCAAATGACAAACAACATAAGCTTGGAGGCCAACATTTCTCCCACTCTTGAATGTTTCAGTGCCTCTTTCATCAGTTCCAAAATGATGAGGAGCTAAGTAAACATAATCATTAACAGAATAGTCAGTTCCCCTGTATGTGAAGCTGGTCAAAGAAGAATTCAGCTTTATGGTGTCCTCTCTTTGGGTTTCATTTAGTTTACAAGAATGGCAATCTCCAGTTCCCAGGCCCATGCTCTCTTTTGGAAGACAAAAGAAAGCACCTTTTTCTGGCCAATATAAGCCTTTACAATAAAACTCCATTGGCAGTCCTCTACGCTTCCTCTCCTCTGCTCTTTCCTCATCAGCCTTAACCTTATTGGCATTGGCCTTACGGTGCTGATATCCCCAAGGCATGCTGCAAGTCTCTACAACCACCGTTTCTCTAATTTCATTCAACTCAAATTCCAGGCAATCATTTGTAAGAAATACCTCTCTCTCCTTAGCAGCATTGCCTAGAACAGTCTCGATTCCTCTAACTGCCAGTCTTCCATGAACCATTTTCCTTGATTCAGATTTTTCATACATATACTCCACAAGATATAAGGCAGGCAAGTCATGTACATTATCTGTTTCCACAGATACAAAACCACCTACAGCAACCAAATCTCCATGAATGATGGCTTGTTTGTAAAGAGGATAGCCTTGACATGTTTTGCCCACTACCTCACCATCCCATTTAATTATTCCCTCAGAAAGCTTCACCTTCACAGGTTTTACAACAGGTTTTGATTCCTCAGTCTTCTTATCCACTTGACCACCTTCTTCTTCAACCTCTTCAGACTCCTCGTCTTCGACTTCCTCCTCTTCTTCCAGTTCATCTTCTCTTATTTCCTTACTATCTGCCTCTTTCATGTCTTCTGGGGAATAATTTGAGTAAAATTCTCCCCATATTCTGTTTATCAATCTAGTTGTAGTAGCAGGCATGGCCTTTCTTGATGCTACAGGTCCCATTGAAGCTCTTGGATTCAGATTTGCTTCCTTCTTTAGTACAGCCTTCTTCTTTACCAACCACTTGGTATGATGTCTTTCCTCCATTTTATCACTAAGCCCAGTCACAAAGGCACACTTCCGGATCACATCATCTGGATATTCAGAAAAGGTTTGTAGTATTATCTGTCCATGTACCACCACGTATCTCTCAACAACTGATGGGATGGAAGAGATATAAGCAGGATTGCTCTTAACAAATTCTGAGATTCTTTTGATAATATCTGCAAAAGAAAGCTTTGAGGCACGGCTCTGCTCCTTCAGTAAGGTAATAATGCTTATAGCAAGCCTTGCAGTTCTTAATACTGTTTGATACCATGGATCATACAGCTTGGATGGCTTTCCCAAGCGATACCTAAAGAAGCAAATAGATAACATGGTGCTCTGGTAAGGAAAGGTGAAGACAAACAATATTACCTAAAATTTTCATGATATGCAGATAGTCAGAATTTTACTAGTTGCAAAGCAAAATCAACTAGAAATAAATATACTGTATTTTATACATCATCTATTTGTATGTGCATATTCTCCTAACGAAGGTAAGAAAACTTCTCTTAAGAAAGGCCTTTTCTTTTTTTTTTAATTAAATGTGTAGAGTTTATAATACTTTGAGAACTTGTTTTCTAATATTTCGTCCATTAGTCTAATGCAATCATAAAGTTTTAATAGTGACAGACCAGGCCATGTCGGTGCGAATTGATATGAACACCATTGAAGATCCAAATTCAATCATCCACTCCTTTATTGCACTCAAATAAATTGGAATCCCATCAGTGTTCGGCATTTGAGCCGAACACGAGGACTGACTAGAATCAGCATCAAGATAGAATCCACTTCCATCATCAGCAGTCATGATTCCTGATCCATATATTGTCACATCAATGTCGTCGCAAGGTTTCATGGGAAGGAGTTCTAAGGAAATAAGCCGGGAATCAGAGTTATAAAGGGACCAGTTATGAAGCATGCTTCGAGGAAGATCATCGGGATCACATATATCCATATCACCGCCGAAGATAACAAATTCGTCCATTTCATCTTTCGTAGTTTTGTAGTAGGCTGGTAGAGGATAGTCATTTGCAATTTCATCCTCATTGATTTTGATGTAGAACTTATTAGATGAAGTATTAGAACGCTGGCTTTTTCTTGGCTTCACAGATCGCCAATACTCCTCTTCTTGCAGCAACTTAGCCAATTTCAAATCCTCGTCGTCTTCAGCTCCAGATGCAGTTATATTGGGAGGACTACGTTCTTCTCCATCTTTAATCTTCAAGCCGACATTAGTGAACCCATCAAATGTGCCTGCATTTGGCAGCAAGTTCCCTTGTTTTCTGCTCTCTTCCCTAAGGGCACAAAGTACAGGCAAGTCTGTGAAAACCTGGTCATTTTTCTTGGATGTACCATCTAACCCAATAAGTTGATTGTATACAAATTCCCCCTGTAAGATAATAAAATCTTTGACCGACATCCCGGAAGGAAAGTTCCGACTACTACTCAAGGAGCGAACTACACCAGCAAGCAATTCATCCAGGGTCAAATTTGGATTTCCACCAGAAGTCTTTGCCAATTTCTTGTAGACCTCCACACAGGCATTGGCTTTTTCATAGAAGATATTATATAGTTTTTTGTATCCACCTGCAGGCTTAACACAATCATAATCAGCAACATCGGTGGAGATCCAAATAGTTGGTGAGCCATCCTCATAACCAGATATCGTCCAAGACTCGATCCGCCCAAACCCTTCACATCTAACACCCTTATTCTTCTCTTTATCAGGGGTCTCCTCAAAAGGCAATATAATACCTGAAATGAACAAATCGTTTACTTCTAACATTTCAACAGCCTGAGGCTTCCCATCGTCATCATGAAATGTAAATTCAGTTAGTCTCCTATTTGGTCTAGAATCATCCTGCCCCGACGTTGTCAAGCCAACCGCAGCTATCTCATCTTCCACCGTCACCTCCCTCTTGCGTTCAATCACAGAAGATTTCTCTGGTAATTGAGTGGTTTTGACCTTAAAATCTGAGCAGGCAGCAGCCCGCTTCGGCATTTTCCTAACACCAGCAACCTTATCACCATTCTCCGACCTACCTCTCTTCTGCTTCGATTTGACTAGAACTTTCACGTTTTTAGTTTCCGACTTGTTGAGATCATTAGATGGATCCATTAATTGGCTTCCAGTCTTCTTCGCCATACCTACAATAAAACATCCGTTTAGCTAATTGATAAAGATGGGTTAAATCAGAAAGGGGAAAAGACACTCCAATGGACCAAGGGAAAAGAGTAATGCAGAAACAACCCGAGTACAAGCGTGAAAAACAGTAAAAACCCATCAGAAAGCAGAAATGGAAGTCAAAAAGAAAGTACAAAAACAAAGAATCTATATACTCCACCACTAGGAAGACGAAAAACTTGATCGAGAAACTACTAATACAAAATCCAAGGAAATGCAAATCAGAAAATGAAGTGGCGATCATCTTCCATGCATGGCGTGTTCACTCATAGAAAAGTAGTGGATGTGCTGAAACGCTACAGATCAACAAGATTAAGCAGAAACCCAGAAAGCAAAATGCGAATTATTACCACAAGAAATTGAAAGAGGAAGAAAAATCAAGTGGGAAAGAGAAACAAGAGAATTGTTTGGAAGAAGTGTGCGATTTCAGGGGAAAAACTGACAACCAAATGTTGAATTTATGGATCAAAAGCAGGAAACAAAGTCAAAGCAGTAAAAGAGATGGGGAGTGACCTGAATGTACAGCGCCGACGAGACGAGGGAAGAATGAAGCGTGAAGTGAAGTGAGAGAGAGAGGGAAGAAGAGAGAGGGAGAGGCGGGACAATGAAAAATGAAAATTAATAAATAGGAAAATGAAGAATTTGGCAATGGCTTCCCGCGTTCGCACTAGGCCTTGGCGGGTACTCACTACGCACTGCTGTGGACTCTCTCTCTCTCTCCATCCAACTTCAGTTCTAGAGAGAGAGAGAGACAAGATAATGCCCTGAACTTTTTTTTACTTTGGGTGGGGCCCAATGACTTGGCATTTCTACGGCCGTTACTCTCCCAATGCCAATTATTTAAATTTTGTTACCCTACCATTATTTCTCTTCCTTCTTTCTTCAGATCAGATGAGATCGCAGATTAAATCGAAATATATGTCAATTACGGTTGAGTTATCTTTGTGTTTATCATTTTGATTGAGTTTTGATTTCTCTATTTTTTTAATAATATCAAATTGGGTTCTTTTCCTACCCGTATCAAATAGAATATGTTGAGTCAAATTTTCTTCGTGTAAAATTACTTTATTTAGATCGGAAAAATTCAAACTATGTGTTATGGCTTGAATCCATAGTCAATCCTATTTACAATAGGAACAGTTGACACTTGAATTTTTCCCATTGTTTTAATTTTCGTATCGGTAATAATGCGAAAAGAAAAAAGGCTCAATTCCAAGTTGTTCAAGAATAGTGCGGCGTTGAATTTCTCGACCTTTGCCTTTGGATTAGTTAGTTCTATTTCTCGATTGGAGTGTATTATTTATCTCTCTAAAGGTTATGAGTTCAAAAATTTCAACTATTTATCAAACTAAGAAAAAACTTTGATTAACTTAAACATAGTTTAACTAATTAAAACACATATTTTCAATTAACAAATTATGAGTTTGAACTTCTCATCGATGTTGTATTTAAACAAACAAACAATGAAAAATCCCAATTTTATAAGAAAATAAATAATAATGTAAATATTTACGAGCACCAACATAGCTTAATTGGTGTCTTCTTAGAAGTTGGAGATTCGATACTATTGTGAAACTCAAAAGAAAAAAAAAACATCAACAATATATATATATTTTTACTTAAACTATGTTTTAAATTTGCTAGAAATAAAATATCAGGTTTATAACAATTATGAAACTTATAAGAGATAATTAAATTGATATTGAAATAAACTAAAAGATTATAATATATTAATATGATGTTTACGTTTTACAATATAGTTAAAATATTGATTAACTTTTTTATATGGATGTTAATCTCTTCGACTTAGGGATATATATACATATGATCCATACTCAATTTTTTACGTGAGAAAAAATGTTTTTTTTTCTTTTTGCTAATGGAAATGTCTATTTTATAAATAGATAATTCTGAACCTTTTTAACATATTTTCTGTTTTAAGAAAACAGAACCAAAAAAAAAAAACATATTATCTGTTTTAATTTGAATATTTGAATTTGAGTGAAACAATTGGTTCTTTTTTTCTCTATAAAAGTAAACTTCGTGAATGCTTTCCATATTTTGATCTTTATGTTTAGATATACTTCCTTATTTGATGATTTGGTTTTTTTTTTGGACAAAATTTGATGATTTGAAATTAATTCAAGGAATTTTTATAATTTTGCATTTTGAGTTTAATAAAGTTGGTAGTTTATAACAAACAATACAATAAAGTAACGGTGACATTATCGTTATCGTTAGTTAGTTAACGATGAAGATTGAAGAGAAATATTACAGTTAAGAAATCCTTTTCTTTGTCGTTTTTCTCTTACATTAATACCATTACAAATCTGATATACACTTTTAATATTATATGTCGACATTAATGATAGATATTAAATACTAAATAAATTTGAAGATTGAGACTATTTTTGCATACAGTACAAGGGTGGTGCATCCTACATCCTTAGGACAAAAAGCAAAATGGAAGGAGGGTAATCGTCTCCTCTTAATTATTCCTAATTTAAAAAGTTAAAGACCTATTTGATATCAAATCAAGTTTGTTCTCAGATTTACTAAATCAAATAGATTCAGTGAATATGGTAGATTCGTTTCTTGAAAATGTTTTCAAATTTTGTAATCAAATCCTTGAAAATTGATTTAGATTTTGAGTTTTTGAAACTTTAAAATGCGTAGTTACGTTAAGAAAGATAAAAAGAATTTTATGAATATATAATATATATTATTATAAGATCATAATAATACACAATTTATAACATATATGTTAATAAATTAATTAATATTATTTTAAATTTAACTAAATTTTTTTTAGTAAAACATGTGGGGATGGGAGAATCGAACTCACAACCATGCTATATGTAAATTACCGTTATGCTCACCTTGGCAGATCTAACTGAATATTAAGTTGGTAACTACTAATAGTTTATAAATATACTAACAATTTTTTAATTTGAGATTTAGTTTTCAATTCAACCGCACTACTTTCGTTGAAGATTTATGTTTTTTTAGATCATTTTAAAGTTTTCTATCTAACCTGTCTCTCTCAAATTTTTCAAAATTAAGGATTTAGATATATATAAATTTGGAATGCAAGATTTTTTCCCTCCCTTTAAAATTTTACAACCCTACCCTATGCCCCCAGTTTATCCTCTAACATATTGTATTTAAAAAAAATTAAAATTTTAAGTTTTCAATCTTCTTTTTTTTCTTTCTAAATTTTCATAATCGAAGGACGTGGATAAATATTTATGAAAAATTTATAAAAATAAAATTCATAGCAAATATTAAAAATAATAAATAAGAATTTCCCTTTTTCTTAAATAAGTGAAATTTTATTATTATTATTATTTTGTTTTTTTTTTTTGAAAAGAAGTGAAATTTTATTAATATTAATATCATGTGCATGTTAGAATAGTTGGTTGATATTTTCTATATTCTGTCTTTTTTGTTCTTCTTTCTTTTCTTTTGCAATGCTAGAAAATGTCAATTCACTATTTATAACACATAGACATACGAAGATGGCCATGGAAGTTTAACGCTCTGGTTCTTCCTCGATCCAACTAGCAAAAATTTCCATGTTATGGGTGAAATTACTTCATCGAATTCTAATGACCTGCTCGAGTCAAATCATATGGGTCAAACCACCCAACCAAACTAGACTCGAGCTGATTGAAACTTGGTCGAGCCGATCCACCCAAGCCAACCAAAGAAGACTCTCCTGTAAATAAGAGGAGATACTTGGGATATGTATTCTCACAATTCTACTTTTTTTTTCTACACTCAACAAAATCTTTTGTTGACTTAGTCATTAGAGTATGTTGAGTTTAGCACCACAACGTACCGGTGTTGGTCAAAAACTTTCAGAACACATATCCAAATTCCTTCATCTACCACTCATATTTGTGTTCGTTAATTGCCCAAATTCTTCACTACGACACTTTGATTAATGATGACAAACAATAGTCATAATAATTTTTTTAAGAAAAACTGTTTTTTTCTCTAAACAAAAACAACAAGAAAATGTGCATAGAACCATAAATTTTGGGTCAATATAAACGCCCACGTCACTATTGTATTTAAGAACCAATTATAAATTAACCCTAAATTAAAATTAAAGATATTGACAATTTGAAATATGTCACATGTTTTTCATTGGGTCCCTGGATTGAATTTAATTGGTTTAATTAGGTTATATGAGAATTGGACCTAAAATCAATTTAGTTCACAGATCCATTAGATTGTTATTTCACCTAAAACCTAAATTACCATAAGGCTAAGTTGATTGACGTTTAAAAAATTTATAGTAGGTATCCTTATTTATCACTCAGTTTGCCAAATAATCATCAATAATGAAAAATCTCCATTTGTATTTTTTCTAACTATTTTGCATGTTTGTTTTTTATACTTTTACATTATTATTTTTACAAACACAGTATATTTAACTTCCCTTTTATCTGTATGAGATTCTATCCCTCCTTGATTTTAGTTTTTTTTCAACTACTATTGTTATAAACTTGATAAGTGGACAAAAAACTGAGCAAAAACTATCAGAGCCGAGTTGAGAGTGTAGTAAGGAGACAAAAATCAAGAGAGAGAGACAAATCTTGTTAGGCAATGCAACTGACAGAATCGAGCAAGGGAACAACGATGGGACAATGCAACGCGGTGGGTGATAAAGCGGGTTGCAAGGAGAGAGACCTATATGTTGAGATCCTACAATTGCTTTTTGGTTTGAGGTAGAATGCTTTATATTTTTGTATTAATTGTTTAAAAAAATACACCTTATTTCTTCAAATTATTTTGTTCCTTCGTCATATTTGTTTTCCTCCATTCACCTTCGCCGTATTTGTTCATCCGTTCACCTTCGTCGTATTTGTTCCTTCGTTCACCTTCACCATATTTATTCCTTCGTTCACTTTCGTTGTATTTGTTCATCTGTTCACCTTATTTTGTTTATCGTTTACATAGTATAATTTTCAATAATTATTTTCTTGTTTAAATTTTGTTTTAGATTTTAATTTAATGAATATTTCTGTTAGTATAATTCTACTTAAAATTGGTTAAGAAAGAATTAGAAAATATACGTAAGATTCTAAAAATATTTGAATTAACCTATTTCAAAAAAAAAATTGAATTAACTCATAATAATATAACAATGGTAGGAAAAGGATAGGTAGGATTCTCCTTAAAAAAAAGGAGAAATAACATATTAATTTTAAAATCATTTTAGGGAGGGTAATTTTGTACTTAAAAAAGTAGCAGAGATCCTCTAGTTTTTACTACGGCTATTATTGAAAATTGAAACTTGTTTAGCAATTATTTAAAATTGCCTATTTTAAATGGCTATATGTGTTATTACCCCATATTTAAATAAGTTTAAATCTATTTAAATAATTGAGTTGGGTCCAAATCACCCAAGTCCAAATCTTTTGATATTAAATTAGGCTTGTAACCCAAATAGAGCCTAATCCATTGGTTACTCAAGCCCAAAATCCACTAAGCCTGTGAAAACTCTATAAATAGAGAGTCTCCAGAATTGAGAGAATTCACACCAAATTGAAGACCAACGTGAAAGACTTGAAGACTTTAGAACTTTGATATGAATTCAAGAACAAACATCTTAATCTTCACATAGAGATCGAATCCACTATACAATACATACAACAAAATCAAAGTTCAACTCCATGAAATATAATTTCTCTGGAAGTCTCGTGTGAATAAT